TGACCATGGGTTTTACTGATAGCTCTTTTCTAGGATTTTGGCTCCTAGAATGTCTAGGTGTATTTTGCTTCATTCTGCTTCATTACTTGGGGTATATGATTTCATATCTATGAGTACTCTCCTTACCAGTACAGAAAGCAAATTGCTCCACACTGTAATAGATGGTTTTGTGCATTTTTCTGACCTCACCTAGTGGATAAACCTCTGATAGTGATCCTTTGTAAACTTAGCTAGGCTTATCCTCAGATGATAAACATTCAGACCATTATTTATCCCTACAAAGAATCTTTTTCTGCTTGGTAGGACCTACTAAGTGAGCATCTGGTCCACTGACCTCAAGTTAGAGAACCAAGCTATTGATATTTCAGAATTATGATCAGCTATCTGAGTAGAACTTCAGTAGCAAGCTTAATTCAAAACTGATATATTTTCTTAATGAAAGGAGCATAGAGCATGATTGTGGAGCAACTCATGAATGATTCATTCTTACATTTGCATTTATATAAAAGCATTGTGTTGTTCAGTCCTTGTGTTGTCTGACTCTTTGTGACCCCTTTTGGTGTACTGGAATAGTTTGCCATTTATTTCCCCAGTTCCTTTTACAGATGAAGAAACTGAGGCAGACAGGGTTAAGTGATTTGTCCAGGGTCACATGGCTAGTAAGTATCTGTGGCTGGATTTAAGCTCACAAAAATGAGTCTTCCTAACTCCAGATGCAGCACTCTATCCACTGTGCCACCTAGCTGCCCATGTAAAAGCATATAGTATGTAACTGAAAAAAAATCTACATCAATAAGCTACCAATCTTGGGAGAACCTGAAGAATGCTTGTTGCATATATGTGCATGGTATATGGATATGACTGGATACAAACATTACATGTGCTATGTCACTAAAAATTCTCATTTGGACCTTTCCTTTATGTGGTGTGTACGTGTGTGTGTGTGTGTGTGTGTGTGTGTGTGTGTGTGTGTGTGTCTGGGTGTGTATACATACATACATACATATATATAAAACAATACTCAACATTTTCAATTTAACAGACATTTATTGAGCACCTACTATATGAAAGTCGTCATCACCGTCAAGTCATTCTCAATTCTCCTCATAACTCTATTTCAGGAATTCAGAGAATCAGGTTTAGTATTGCTTGAACTCTCATATGAAAGTTTGTCCAATGGAAAGCCAATCTAATATGTCTCTAACCCTCTTAGAATCTTATGTTTTAAAGTTCAATAACACATAACAAAATAAGAGAACAGATTAAACACTAAAGTACAGACACAATTCTAGTTGCATAACCTTTTAAAAGACAGTTCTGTAGTCAGAGCATGGACTAATAAAAACGTATTTACATTGTAAATTTACTATTTATGACTTGTGTTTTGGAATGGGTGAATAGTGGGAGAGTGATTACAATAATGTTTTAAATTTTCTATCCCCTCCAATCCCACATTTTTCTGACTAGGTGAAAAATCCAAGAGGGTATTCTTGGTCTACAGGTGACATTCTAGACAGTGAGTTTTGCCTGAGTGAAGGCAATGAGCTTGGAGGATGTAGTAATAGGAAGGTAGGAAAATTGGCTTGCTAAATTAAGGGCCAGGAGGACTTGGGTTTTTAGTCACTGTGTAAGGGATCTTGAAATCATGGTAAGCAACATATGTGATATGTATCAAACTGACTTTTTCTCTGTTTCTAACATGACATTGCATATTTTAAATTCATGTCTTCTCCCTTCTTGAATATACTGCAACATTACTTCTGCAACATGGAGTCCTACTCTTCCTCTCAGATGCACCTCTAGCACAAAACCTTTCTTGATCTTTCTGATTGTCAGTGCCCTCCATCCTTATCTTATGTTAACTGTTTTGTGTACATACAAATAGATTAAGCAGCTGGTTGGCTTGGACCTGGGGTCAAGAAGATCTAAATTTGAATCTTGCCTCAAACACTAGCTGTGTGACCCTGGGCTAGTCACAACCTCTCTCAACTCCAGTTACCTCATCTGTAAAATGGGGATAATTATAGCACCTACCTCATAGACATGTTTATTAGCAGCAAAGGAGGTAACATATGCAAAGCATTTTTAAAGCCTAAAAGAATTGTATAAAGGCAAGTTATTTCAATAATTATTTTGTATTTATTAACTTTATGCTGCATGTATTTTTATTTATTCTTGTTTGTTCCCCCCATTAGGATATAAGTTCATGAGTAGTTTCATTCTTGATATTTGTATATTGTCGATATCCAGTGCAGTGCCTGGCACTGTATTTGTTGATTAATTTGTATAGATGAACTTGGCCCTTCCCTCTAGATTTAATTGGCTGTGAGAATAACATAATTTTGCTTGAGAACTGTTTGTACAAATGATTTATGCCCATGTAAATAGAATTTAAAAATGTTACTCTCTAACTGTGCTTTATTAAACTTGAACTTTTTTTTTTTTAAATCAACTCAAAGGAAAGTATTTTGGGGTTTTTCCAATAGCTATAAAATACTAAGATAAGAACAGTTATCCCCTAAAGGGCTGTAAAGGTGGCTGAATGAAAAAGTATGTTCATGGTTGTATATGCCTTTTCCAAAGAACTGATACGTAAAGTGGCAGTAGTTAAATTGAAGTTTAAAGTAAAAAAGTTAAATTCTAGAAATGGCAGTATAAGGTATCTCATTGAAAAGAATGTGCTTGCTTTGGACACCAAGGTTTTCAAGAATGAGAGGATTTCTTTAGTACTCACTAATAGGATATCCATATAGCTCAGGATGTTTGCTTCCCCTGTCCACCCCAGAATCATAGGATTTCATAATGGGAAGACAACTTGGGAAGAATCTATTACACTCCCTTTATTTTATAAATAAGGAAACTAATTTACATAGAGGAAAAACTCAGTAACATCAAGCTTGATGACAGAGCTGTGTCAAAAAAACAGATTTCCTGATTATCAGTTCACTGCTCTCCAGTTTCTTCAGCAACCAGTCAATAAGTACGTATTGAGCACCTACTGTATACCCCAGGCTAAGTGTTGGGGATACAGGAAAAAAAAAAGGCAAAAGACGGTCCTTCCTCTCAAAGTGCACAGTCTCATGGGCTAGACAGTATGCAAGCGACTATGTTCAAACAAACCATAAACAGGATAAATGGGAGATAATCAACAGAGAAAAGGAACTGGCACTAGGAGAGATTGGGAAGGGCTTCTTGTGGCATGGGATGGGATTTTAGCTGAAACTTGAAGGAAGCCAGGGAATCCAGGAGGTGGAGGTGAAGAGAGAGAGTGTTCCAGACTTGAGAAAATGCCCTGAGCTGAGAGATGAAATGTCCTGTTTGAGCAACAGCCAGGAGGTCAGTATCACAGGTTCCAAGTGTACATGCGGGGGATATTAAGTGGAAGAAGGATCAGAAAGGTGTGTTGGGGGTAGAGGTAGTTTATGAAGGGTTTTTACTGGCAGAGGATTTTATATTTAATCCTGGAGGTGATAGGGAGTTGGGGTGTGTGTGTGTGTGTGTGTGTGTGTGTGTGTGTGTGTGTGTGAGAGAGAGAGAGAGAGAGAGAGAGAGAGAGAGAGAGAAAGAGAGTAACCTACGCTCCATCACTTTCATAGCTGAGTGGAGGACAGACTGGAGTAAAGAGGGATTTGTGGCAGGCATACCAACCAATAGACTATTACAGTAGTCCAGGTATGAGGAAATATGGATCTGCACCACTGTGGTGGTGAAGGCAGTATCACAGGAGAGAAGGGGGGGGTGGGGTCCTTGAGAGATGTTGCAGAGGTGAAATCTACAGGTCTCGTCTACAGACTGGATATAGGTGTGGGATGGGAGGAGAGGAGAGATAGTGAGGAGTTGGGAGAATAAAGGATATTGTGCACAACCTTGTAAAGGCCTTTTCAAGAATGATAATTTGATTAATCAGGCTATCACAAGATGCTTATGCAAGATGTCATGTGACTTCAAGGAGTTGACATGGTCTGCCAAGACTACAGCAAAGAGAGGATGCTTCCAGAGCTATCACTGGGTCACAGCAAACTGGATTGATAACTCTCAGCCCCAAACTAATTTTAGTCCCAGTAAAAAAAGTGAGGGCAGGGGCAGCTAGGTGGCACAGTGGATAGAGCTATGGCCTTGGAGTCAGGAGGACTTGAGTGCAAATCTGGCCTTAGACGCTTGATGCTTACTAGCTGGGTGACCCTGGGCAAGTCACTTAACCCCGATTGCCTCACCAAAACAACCCAAAAAGAGTGAGGGCTTTATTCCAACTTATTTAAACAACTGTTGTGTATTCTTGGTTTTTGTATGTTTTTATCATTCTATGCCACCTTGAATTTTTAGGACCAGTGGGGAAATAGAATATATATTATTTATATACTATATTATATTTATATGTTGTGTGTGTGTGTGTGTATAACGTGTGTGTGTGTGTATATATATATATATATAAACGTGTGTGTGTGTGTGTATATATATATACATATATGTATATATACACATATATATGTATATATACATAAAAATATAAAATATCTAACGGTATAATTCTAGACAACAACTTCTATTTTGTCCACTGGTAAATCTATTGTTGGAAAAGAAAACAATTAGTAAATGAGCCAGGTTTGAATCTCATGTTCTCTCCCTTCCCCGTCCATGTTCCAAGGGAGGTGCCAACAAGCAGTGAAATGGCTTGAAAGCTGGCAAGAGAGAGAAGAAAGAAACATTGGATAGTATCTCAGAAAGAAAGCACAAACTAATTGTGTTGGGAATAGAGGGTTTTTAACAGGTTTTAGCCTATGGTCATGCCCTGCAACTGATGTAAGTTTTGTCCAATTGGGAATGTCATATGCAGAACAGAATATATACTCCTGGATTTCACTTGTTCTTGTGATTTGGGGGTATTTGTTCATTGCGACTGCATGGAAGAGAAGTTTGTGCTCCGTGTTGACCTGAGGAAACATTCGTTTCCGCATACTAACTCGATTCCGTTCTGTGTTCCCCTCCTTTTTTTTTTCTAGCACAAATGGACCCCCGAGGCCTCTCTCCCAGGCAAATTAAAAGTGACAGTGATGATGATGACCTGCCAAATGTGACCTTAGATAGCGTTAATGAAACTGGATCTACAGCCCTTTCCATAGCCAGAGCAGTTCAAGAGTAAGTATCATGTTCTCGGGAGGAGGTAAGAATTGTCAGTGTTCAGTGGAAAACGGCAACTACAGTCATCAGCTGACATGCAGATAGGCCGCTTTGACTTGGAGGTGGCACGTGGGCCTATAACTCTCCATTTCGGGAGAAGATTAAGTAAAAGAAAAGATGATTTTGTTTGTTTCAGTGGTGGTAAATATATGTTAGGATGGCTAAAAAAAAAATCAAAAATGATTCTCTGAGGAATATGATCTGTACATATGCTTTTTACAGGATCTCCCAGTCCCTTACCTTCAGCTCTGAAGGATTTTTTTCTTTTACAAAGTCTTCTGAATGTTATCAGTATCCTTTCAGTCTGTTTTAAGAGCTATCTCAAGCATAGTGAGTTGGACATTAAATTAAAAAGTAGGCTGTGTATGAAAGTGAATTTTTTCCAAGATCTAAGTTGGCTTAGGCTAAGGTTCATACTCACTGAGTCTTCATGACTTTTATTAGTATTGACTGCACATATCTAGAAATGAGTCCTTTGACAAGCAGTGCACATATATGTATGTATTGTTCTGAATCAAAAAGCTTTGTAATATTGTCTTCCCTGGGACAGCAGATAGCATTTGTAATTAGAGAACCTGATTTATCAGATAGCTAGGCACGTACAATTTGTAGGTCTACAGATTTGTACCATTCCTACTTCTAGTTACCTCTTTATGGCCCTTGGGTTTTTGTTCTTACTCCATAGTCATGTGACATGTGAGCAGAAAAGCTAATGTGTTCTTAAACTTCGTTAAAAGAAGAATCATTTCCAGAGCAAGAACAGTGATCATGTTTTTGTACTCTGTGTAGTCAGGCCATACATGTATTATCATGCCAATTCTGTGTGCTGCATTTTAGAAAAGACATAGGCAAAATGGAGCATTTCCAGGGGATGGTGAGCAGAATGCTGAGAAGACTGGAAAATGTACCGTATTAAGACCAGTTGGGCATTTCTGCCCACAAATATTTATTTATTTTTAGAATTCATTTTTTAAAAATTGTGAGTTCTGAACTGTCTCCCTCATTACCCCTCCCCCACCCAGTAAGAAGGCAAGAAATGTGATACTGATTATACATGTGAAATCTTACAAAACATATTTCTATATCTGTCATGTTGCAAAAAAAAGAAAAAAAGTAAGAATAATAAACACATTTTTTAAAGTTATGCTTCACTCTGCATTCAGACTCCGTCAGTTCTTTCTCCAGAGGTGGATAGCATTTTTCGCCTTTGGAGTAGGCATGGATAATTGTATTGATCAGAATAGTTGATCATCATACAATATTACTATAATTGTGTAGGTTCTCCTGGTTCTGCTCATTTCACTTTGTATCAGTTCATATAAGTCTTTCCACGTTTTTCTGTAAGCATCCTGCTCTTCATTTTTATAGCACAATAATATTCCGTCACAATCATAAACGACAGCTTGTTCAGATATTCCCAAATGGATGTGCATCCCCTTAATTTCTAATTCTTTGCCACCACTAAAAGAGCTGCTATAACTATTTCTGTACATATAGGTCCTTTTCCTTTTTCTTTGATCTCTTTGTAATATAGACCTAGTAGTGGTGGTATTTCTGGGTGATAGGGTATGCAGTTTTATAGCCCTTTGGGCATAGTTCCAAATTGCTCTCCAAAATGATAGAGTCCACAACTCTACTAAGAGTGCATCAATGCCCCAATTTTCCCACAACCCCTTCAACATTTGTCATTTTCCTCTTCTGTCATATTAGCCAATCTAATAGGTGTGAGGTGGTACCTCAGAGCTGTTTTAATTTGTATTTCTCTAATCAATGGTGATTTAGAGCATTTTTTCATATGACTATAGATAGCTTTGATTTCTTTTACTGAAAATTGCCTGTTCATATCCTTTGACCATTTATCCATTGAAGAGTGACTCATATTATAAATTTGATTGTCTTCTATATATTTGAGAAATGAGGCATTCATCAAAGAAATTTGATGTAAAAAATTTTTTCCACAGTTTCCTACTTTCCTTTCTATCTTGTCTGCATTGTCTTTGTTAGTGCAAAAACTTTTGAATTTAATGTAATCAGAATTATCTATTTTACTTCCCATTATCCTCTCTTATTTGGTCATAAATTCTTCCCTTAACCATAGGCCTGACAGGTAAAACTTTCCATGCTTCTCTAATTTGCTTATGATATCACCCTATATATCTAAATCATGTATCCATTTTGACTTTATCTTGGTATATAGTGTGAGATGTTGATCTATACCTAGTTTCTGCCAAACTGCTTTCTAGTTTTCCCAGCAATTTTTGTCAAATAGTGAAGAATTGGATATTTTTAGAAAGCCCTTAGGGCACAGTAATTAAAATATAGTGCCTAAGGGACTATAACATGGAAAATGAATTTGAATTCCTCATCTTGGGCACAGAGAGCAATGAATGGAAATTACAAGGAGGCAGATTTCAGATCAGTAGGAGGAAAAACTTCCTTCCAGTTGAAGTTGTGCAGAAATGCAGTAGATTATCTCAGGAAGTAAAGTCTAAATGATAGTGTAATTATGTTAAATACTGTTAGTGATTCATTGGAATACAAATCATACAGCTTCAGCTATTAGCCTTCCTTTATTAAGGGGCCTTGTGGCATAGCAGATAAAGAGTAAGTCTCTAAAAAGCCCTAGGTTCAAGTCCAGCCTCTAACAAGGACAACTTGGGCGGGTCACTTAACTTCACAATGCTCCAAGCAACTCTCTAAAACTATAAATTGCAGAAAAGGTATTGATAATGTACTGGTAGATGACGTTTTCTCACTAGGAATACCAATACCAAGGAAATCACATCTCTGATTAAAAGAAAAAATGGTATGGTTCAGGGGTAAGAAACCTGCACAAAGTGAAAAGTCCTGGGTGTTAATCCTGGCTCAGCCATTAACTCCCATTGTGACTTTAGGGAAGTCACATCACCTCTCTTCTACCTTGTTTTTACCTGTAAAATTAGGTGGCTACACTAGAAGACTAAGATTCCTCTGGCTCTAAAACTGGGGATCCTATGAATTTTGTGGCTATGATTACCAAAATCTAAATTATCAAAGCGATCCCTTGTCCTCACCTGTTGTCAGTTTGTAGAATACATTGTGTTGAGTTCCTTTCAGAGCAATCTCTTGTAAAAATCCGATGCAGTCTGATCACTGTAAAATAGTGCATTGAAGAATGAAAGGATTGGTTAGTCTCCAAATGTGTTATTTGTAAGGCACCATGTTAATAAATACCTGAGCAAAAAGAATGGGGAAGTTGCCAGCCTGGTCTGTATCTGTGTTCCCACATATGTCATCTTTTCCATTGCCATAACACGGTTTCACAGCAACAAAAATTGTGTATGTATGTGTATGTGTGCATGCACACACAAGCACGTGTACACATGCTTGTGCCTTGGGGAAATGCCTGATTCATTATTCATAGAACTGTTTTCATTAAGCTATTAGGAAAGTGTATACCAGTCTGTCACCTGGGAAGCCCTGCAGCTAGATGTAACATAAAGAGTTAATTAGTCATTAGTCAAGAAAGAAAGGAAGGGGCAGCTAGGTGACACAGTGGATAGAGCACCGGCCCTGAAGTCAGGAGTACCTGAGTTCAAATCCGGCCTCAAACCAAACACTTGATACTTACTAGCTGTGTGACCCTGGGCAAGTCACTTAACCCCAATTGCCAGAAAGAAAGAAAGAAAGAAAGAAAGAAAGAAAGAAAGAAAGAAAGAAAGAAAGAAAGAAAGAAAGAAAGAAAAGAAAGAAAGAAAGAAAGAAAGAAGGAAAGAAGGAAGGAAGGAAGGAAGAAGAAGAAGAAGGAAGGAAGAAAGGAAGGAAGGAAGGAAGGAAGGAGATGGTGGTAATCACTGAAAAGTGCTGAGATGGTTCTAGGTGATTTTTTTTTTGAAAGTATTATTTGACCAAGAGAATTGAAATTTAGGTATCTTGGAAAATACGGCTGTGCCATGTCAGGGAAACCCTTTCTTATAAATCATTTGAATCAGGGCAACTACTTCACTTATGTTAAGTTAAATTTAGGATCATAGAATTTCATCTTTCCTCATAGTCGCTCAGAATTGTTCTCTTGCTGTACCACCATGTTAATCTTGCGTATCTGTTCTTCCTCTTCATTTTGCTTGTTTCAGACCGTCTGAAGGGAATAAAACACTCAGAGTCAATTAACAGCTTTTAAAACAGAACCTTTTTATTGATTTTAGTACAAGGAAGTGAAAATAAAATCAACCAAATTGCCTTCTAACTCTATATGATTGAAAAGTTTTCAGGAAAAATTGTGTTTGGCACAATGTGTTTCTGGTTTTCTTTAAAAATGAGTAAGGTAGTTGTTGAATCCAAACCATAATTGAATTTTCCCTCAATTGAAATGGATGTTTTTCTTACTGCTGTTTTCTAAGAGTGACTGTAATCATGATATGAAAAGCATAACACAGTGAAATACAGCCATATCATGTTAACATATCTTTTTATCAGTTAATTTGGGAATGTTGTGCTCTTGTCTCTAATCTCCAGGTTTATTCTACCCAGAAGGGCTAGAAATAGTAGGAAGGTACTGTGGAGAAATCTCAGTTCACTAACAGCAAAGTGACCTCATCAAACCTCATATGAAATCATTTTCACCTCCCTTATATATTTTTTATTCCTTCACCCAAGAAAGTGAAATCTCAGATTGCAAGGTGCAACAGGTTATTATCCTGTTTGGTTATCGACAGGAAGCCAATATGAATAGTGTTTTCTTGATGTTATCTCTAGAAAGTAGATTTAGTGTTATGGTAAGGGTTAAAAAATAATAGGCAGGTATGGGTATTGGCATTCTTGCTAAATGAATGTCATTAACCATCTTGCCTATGGAGAGACAAACACCTGATATGTTTCTGTTCATGCTGGCAGTGCTCAATAAATGATGTTGGCTCAGTGACTGACAGATGGAGATGGAGCCCTAACAGCTGGAGTTGGCTCTGCCAGCCACCAGTAAT